ATAGTCACTTTTGATGTACTTCAAAAAAGATACCAAGGTGACCGAAACATTAGTAAACAATTAACCCAACATTATGTAAGTTCATTTGGCGAACAGCAAAACCTGGAGATAACATACATAGTAGTTTTTAGCTTTACTTTCAGGAACACATTCTTCCAGCAGCTGCTGTAACTAACAAAATATGATTTTGATCTCCCAACTGCAACCCAGATGACATACTTGGGAAGATGCTACAATTTCTCAAAAACACCCAGGAAGACAAAGATCATCCAATCAGCCAGATAAGCCAGCAATGTCAAATCGAGCCTTCAAAATTCAGGCGTCCTGTGTACTATATCTCATAATGATAATAATACGTTGTAAAAAGGTTTTATCCTACGTCCTCTATCCTTCTCGTATTTCACCCATTTCCTAAGAAGTACACATTTTGAACGTATATAGAAGTAATATACTTTTGTTTTTTATTGCTTATAGGTATATTAGCCAAAGCCAGCCGTATGCACACAGCGCATTAGTTTGCAGAGATATTTCTGGTATATTACATATCTTTCCCAATATCACATTTCAAAATTGGTATTTCGTACATCTTTCAGAAATATTGATTTTGTAATATTTCGCAATTTATGTTTGAGAGACATTACTGAAATGAGGGATAAGAAATATTCCATTCATATTGTTTCTGAAATATCACTGATATGTTTATATTTATTTAGATGTTTAGATAAATAGATCTTTTCAATATATTGGTTTATTGCGTCCATGGCAATATCAATGTAATAGGTAAACAAACATATGCACATCAATGGGTGTAGTTGCGACGAAAAAGTAAAAGATAGCAATTTCCGACAGCGGATTTTTTAACGGAGAATCTAGGTCTCCTCAGCGATCGGTTTTAGATAAATTGTCGAATCGCCGAATAGCCAGTGATACATGCTTATCAATGACACTCGTTGCCCTTTTTGTTTTGTTTCAGTCGTGAAAAGGATTTGTGGTCGTTACCAGAGCCCATATTAGATAATAAATTCACGTGTAACTCCATTATTTAGAGAAATAATTCCTATTTCGCTGGTTTTAAGCACACATCCAGTGTGTTCCGCCCAGCCGTCGCCATTTGTCATGATGGACTACCGTTTTCCTGTTTTGTCAAGTTTCGTCTTCGTCTTCTTCGCTTGTCGGCTTGTGTCCTCAGCTACTTTCAAGTCAAGTACTTGAGTTTATGGTATACGAATTTACTCGTGGCTTACACAATGGCCATTGAAATTCATTAGAGTGATGTAAGTAAAAGTTTCTTTTTCCTTATTCAAATATTTATTCAATTTCTTGGTGTATAATCAACAGTTGAAACAATATAATAACAGTATCAGATTCGATTGTTTATTAATATTTACCAAAATGGCTAACTAATAATAATAAAATTAGATAATTATTGATTTTTATGGAATCTAGTAGAAGTAAAGTTCAAACTTCCTGATTTTAAATCAACTATCTCAAATTTAAAGAAATCCTAATCACTATTCTTGGAAAACCACTTCATTATATATCTAAAATGAAACTGGACTAAATCAAGACATTATGATACAGAACAATCAATATTGAGGTTTACAAAAATATACTTTGATAAGACTTCATGGGCAACTGAAACATTAGTAATGATTGTTTTCCTATGTTCGATTTCTCAGTTCCAGAATAAGTTGCCTTAATGTTAAAACTTGTGGAGAACTGTCACAGATGAGACCGTCGGATAGGTAGATTCATAGATGACTCAACTATGGATAGGTGGATAGACGACTCAAGTATTATAGATATGGTAATAGATTCGTTGAAAATACTGATGTGTTTTATTTGAACAAATATTTTGTGAAAGATTCGAATATACGATACAAAAGCGGACATTTTTATATATATTATATACCTTTCAGAAATATTGCAGCAACATTTTGTAACGATTTTGAAACATTACGATTATTATATGTAGGATTTCTGAAATATTTCCTAAAAATATTGTTCTGTATGGGTAACATAATCTATATAAAATAAAAGTTTAAAATTGAAAAATTACTAGAGATCTTTATTGTCAGCTTTTCGTTTTGAAAGGTGATATTTGAGGCATCTTGCAACTCTAGAAAAATAACGGTGTACTTGAAAAATAGGAAAGAATGAAATCGAGCTTCGAGTAAACCTCTTTAGTGCGATTTCAGGAATTATCTTGATACAGGGTGACTTTAAGGTGGCCATCTCTTACATTTAGTGATAATTGCTGTATTGCTAAAAGCCCCCAGTATGAACTGTATCTGAGGTTGCTTTATCATCTCAGGAAATGATAGATCCAGAAAAGTTAATCCATGCTGCGATCAAAGCCAAGGCACAGGCTTAAATGAGACCACTCTGTATGCATATAGTTCCACTATATCGCCCTAGATGGCGCAGCCGCCCTGCCGGGCTAATTTACCCGTCTCTTTCGCGCCGTACCGTACCGTTTTCGCACCATAAAGGCATACACACAACCGACCGAAAGGTACAAAATCGTAATCATAAAAGGATTATGATTGTGTATGTATATGGGTCAGCACACGGCGTGGTAGAGAAGAAAAGCTGCTGATGGATGTTTTCTTCTTTTACGGTCGACACCTTCATTCAGCCAGGCTAAAAGGGACATTCGATATCTTTTTGATGGCTGTAGAGAGAAAAACGTACGAATAAAACAAACACGCGATCTCCAGGAGAAGTCTTCCCGTTCAGGGCAATTCAATGGAATTCTTTTCTTGTGACGCGATAAATGCTCTTGCGGATGGTTTTGGAGGTTACCTATGATGTGGAATCTTATAAGGTGATCCTTATAAATGATGCATATGAATAGTAGTAGCGGAAGCAGTGTAAGGAGTTGCATAGGGTGTAGCTTAGTTTGGCAGGTTTCTCTGGCAGCGTAACTATAGACTTTTGGAACCTACACATGAATTACGTTGAATGCTCGACTATCATTAAATTCAAATTGAAACTAAGTGCCTGACTGTCACGACCAGTGGACGAGAGTTTGGGATTCAACGCACATCATACGCAGATGTTCCAACTGAAAATGAAGAATTTACTTGTTTACGGTAACACAGATTTTTAGTTTTATACTAATTTCTCATCCCTTGGTATTCTTAACAAAAGTCACCTATCTCATTTCGAATTTTCTTCATTGGACTAATTTTACTTCGCAAGCATTCTGTTCACATCACGGTTTTCATTTTTGCACGGTTGTTTCCACTTTTTTTAATTTAAGCATCGATTATAACATAATAATAGTGCTTTCATCCATCCAACCAAGAAAGGAACAACCGTGTATGGCACTGTTTCGTGCTTACTGGTAATCATTAGGACGTTAGGCAGGTTAAAGAACAAAATAAGTCCGGAACTATCATTCTAAAAATGATAAGCTAGATGTATGGGGTAGAAAGTAGGCCCAAAAATACCACTTAAAGTTCTTGTATCTTATAATAGTTCATTAGCGAAATACAGCGTGTTGAGGTTTTATTTTCAAAATATAAATAAAATTATACCTCCGAAGTGGTTAAAGGCATCGATTTGAAATATCTTACATCTAACCCTAATAACGTTACTAATATTTGCAAAAAACAATCAAGATCACACCAGTGGCGTTGACTCCTACAGAAAAGAAAAGGAAAATATTTTCAACGCCACTGACTTTTTTAAAACTGCAGTTGCATTTTGTGACATATGCGATTTCACACACATGGTCTTCCTTGAGAAATTCTTGTCAGACAATTCCTTTTGCACATCTGGGGAAAACTCTTCATAAAAAATTGAATCCATTCTCTTATAAAGATACCTTGAATTTGATGGAGTGTGACATCAAAAATTCTAAGTAAAGGAGCATATTGAATCTTTGAAGGATATTCGTGTTTTTTACTTACTTGATCTCATTATTGTCGTACAAATTTACAACATTCTGTATCTTGGTAATAGGACATTTTAGGACATTTGAAGTCTGCAAGTATAGCTTTCAGCTGGTCGGCTACAGCCTTTAAATGGTTTCAACTGACTCAGAATGAGTTTCCTTGAGGTGATTTTTCAGTTTCGGGAAGAAAAAAAAGTCACAAGGCCTCAAGTCAGGTGAATAAGGAGGCTAAACTGTTTCACAAAAAAAAGCTACCGACACCAAATGACTCGAGCGAGTTAAAACTTGTACTGAAGCTGGATCGCATGTTCCCCTCTCTCCCCTTCAAACCGGTGACTCCAGTGTTGCCAAATCGAAGGCTACGTTGCCAGTCTCATCACTTAATTTACAGACCTTTTACGGTTATGGACGCTATTTATCCTATTTTCGAATGTATTTTCCCTTCCAGGAATATTTCCATTGTTTTTTAATCACCCTGTAGAGTTCCTGACATCCTAGTACCATTGATGCCAATTCCGGAGACACCATAAGCTGTGTACACCGTAACGAGTCTTGCCATTTCATATTGATCACTAGTACCTTTTCGAGTGAAAGTAGGTGGTCGTCAGGGATTACATCTAATAAAATACACCCATCCTGTTAGTTAATAAACTTTCACTCCCCTTCGTATCAATTCGTTAAAGCGATTCTCCCGTGGGAAGTCAAATCGACCGTTAAGTCTTTCCCGCGGGATCGTCCAAACTGTTTCTTTCAGAACGGGCCACTTCAACAGATGGCCAACGCTATATTATGGGGTTTAATAGTAGAGTAGTTTCGGGTAATATGGAATACCATTTTCATTTCTCTCAATAACTGAAAAAATAATACACCTTTTCTTCTGAAAATTTGTTGAAACACTTATACGATGTTACCTAACAATTGCTTACCACCAGATCAACTGAAGCAAACCTCATTTTTGTGTAGAGAAAAATACTTTCCAATTAGTTATTTTTATCTGTCAAACAAAAGAGAAGTATAATATGGAATAGGTATATGGGGTAATATGGAATAGGGTAAATCATACGAAAAATAAGAAAAAACAAGTTTAATTCTTCACGATAGGTAATTTAACAAATATAAAACAAATTAGATAGACCTTTATTTTATTTGCAAAAATCGCAAATGTAGATATCACCTTCACAACTTGTGCAATCTTCATGAGCCCATCCGTTACAAATGACACATTTCACCCATACCTCTCTGCTTTTACTCATCGTGAACATCTCTTGACAAAAAATACATTCCGTCGTGTCATCAGCACATTGCTTGGGACTAATATAAGATGACAGGGGGAGATCATCTTCATCAGAGGAGTTTGCGGGAACGGGTTCTGAAGAAGATGTTAATGATGAAGATGATGTTGATGGTGAACGTGCTTTTCGCTTTTTCTTCGCAGATTGTTTAAGAGAACTTGGTCCTGCTTCATTGACTAGTCTCTTAGTAACTTTCTCACGTGAACGATTAATAGATTCCTCTAACTCCTCTTTATTCGGAGTTGAGGTTACTACCCTTGCACGACCAGGTTTTCTTCCTCTCGAGCCTATTTTTTTTTTCAGTTGTGGTATTGGTGCGATATCCTTGGGGAGAATGTTTGGTGAATGACATAGCGCTGGTTCATTATTTTCTGGAAAATCTGCTGTGACAGGATGGGGCACATGATGTCTTTGCTGTTCGGCTAAGAAGTCTTCATCGGAGAAAACATCTCGTTGAAAGGGGTAAATGCCAGTTGTACTGAATCCCTTTGTTGACCTCTCCGCAGTCTGGATTTTTGTATAGGCTCTTCCAAATAACTCGCCCATATCAAAATGTGTTACGGCTCTATTATGTGCCCACATAAATAGCCTTACTTCCTCATTGTAGAAAGTTTTCAGGGCACCCATGAGTGTTTTATCCAGAGGCTGCATTTTATGCGATGTATGAGGAGGCAAACATAATTTTGTTACAAAATGTTCTCGGGCTTTTATGGCTACGTCAATATTTCGAATGTGAGTGTGATGCCCATCTAAAATAAGGAGTACTGGACTGTCTTTGGTGGGGTTTGTCCTTTCCAAAAAATGGTCAAACCATTTAGTGAAGAGCTCAGTCTGAATCCATCCCGAGGGGTGAAACGCAAACAAAGTGCCCAGAGGAGCTCCTTTCTTAAGCTGCTCACTTGAATTTTTGCGAGGGAAAATAATCATGGGTGGCACGAACCGTCCTGCTGCATTCATACATAAAACTGCAGTCACTAAGGAGCCTCGCTCGGCCGCCGTTAGTACACCTACTTGTCGTTTGCCTCTTTTTGAGACAACTTCGGGACATTTGGATTGTACAATACATAACCCCGTCTCATCAACATTGTAAATCCTGTCACAATGAACATTTTTTTCTGTCATAAGTTTCTCAAGCAGATTAAAAAACTCATTGACGTCTTCCTTATTAAAACCGAGAGCTCTATTTAGAGAAGTGCCAGTTGGTTTTCGAATGCTCAAAGAAGCTTTGTGCCTTTTCATAAAACCATACAACCAGTCTTTTCCAGCTGATTCCCGTAAAAATGAAAATGGATGTGGAAGGCTGTTGCGTCGAGCCAGCTGAAAAGCCATGGATCGCAAATCTTTTCTGGTTAATCCATAATACATTTGATCCATGATCAACAAATACTTCACTAGTTCTGTTTCCAATTCCGGTGGCAAAGCTGTTTTTCGGCCTAATGTAGTACTGCAAACAGTATCAGGAGAACCTTCTTTATTGCACAAGCGGTGAAGTGTTGCTCGTGGAACGTTATAACGTTTTGCAGCTGACAAATAGCCCAACCTGTTACTTCTAACATCTTCAATTGCTTTGCGCATATCATCAGACTGCCATTGCTTTCTTTTTCTTGCCGACATAGTTTCTGCAAAAAAAAACTTGTTTCATACGCAAAACGACCCAATTTTTGCTGATAATTAGGCTTTTTGTCTCTTCACAAATATCGTTCAATCTCAAAACAAAAACATCGGGTAATATGGGATACCTAGAAGCGGTATAATATGGAATATCCCATATTACCCGAAACAGCAACTGAGGAAAAAAATGCACGCTGCAAATATGTTTTAAGAAAAAATATGGTAACAGCCCTCTAAAGCAGTAACTTAACATTTGAATAGACTCACCTGTCAAAATAAGCAAGATTGGTAAATAAATAACACCTTTACAAAAATTCTAATGACTATCGTGCACAACTTTGTAACCACAAATAATGCTCATTTGCGGTTTATAAACTAGAGAACGGCAACCAGCGAAACCTGTCGACGCTATTGTGTATTGGGTGTAAAAGAGGCTGGCTTAGGTATTGAAATACAGATGTCGCTACCAACATAAAAATAAGAAGCTATTCCATATTACCCGTACTATTCCATATTACCCGAAATTACTCTATTGTTTGCAAGCGGGTAGTAACCTATGGGGAAACACTTTATAATCTGTATGAAGATCTGGGAAATGCTGAGAAGATTGAATTACAAAATATTTTTACCCTCCTTATTGCAGTACGAATACAGATATACAGTCATATTTTGTTAGTGCCAAAAATTCACTCTGGGTCTTCAGATTCGACTGATACATGATATTTTATACTTTTTACTTCCCACGCAGAGGAAGTATTGCAATCGTGAAATTTTTTGAAAAATAAGATATATATTCTAGATCTTATATGACATGTACAACACGAAAAACCATGCCACTCATTTTCGTCGGTCTGCCTGTCGGTCTGTCTGTCGGTCTATCCGCTAATCCTATAACCGCCTATAACCTAACCTAACACAATGTTACTATTGTGCTTATGACGCAAAAGCGTTGCAGTTTTTGAAAATTAAGCCAGTGGCGGAGGAGGAAGACAAAAAAAATAGCTGAAACTTCGTATTTTGACCTTTCAGACGATACTGATAATTATCGAAAAAATTTTTGTAGGGGTTAAACATTGGGGATTAGGGGTTGCAGGGTGTAGGGGAGAATATATCTCAATTTTCTGCCGTTGGTATATTTATACGCCTCCAACCGCAAACATTCTACGCACATATTAGTCATATTTCACTCATCGTAGATGTCCTCGAACATTTACCCTTAAAACTTGGAAATATCTCCTACAATCGGATGTCGATACGTGAGACGTCGTCTCCCGATGGACAAGCAAGGCTAACTTTTTTCTCAGAAGAGCTAACTTGTACCAAAATAATTTACGAACTGATGACAGCTTAGCGTGGGAAGTACAGTCAATTCACTTTACGCCATTTTTTTTACTTTTTTTTAAAGACATCTTTTCCGTGCCAAAATGACAATTTTATTTTCATAACTGTTCAAAACAATAGTTGCTGTTATGCTGGTTTGTTTTGATTGAAGTATTAGTTTTTCAGTACTAGCTTTGTAGTTTTAACGTAAGACCTCTCCTCCTCATACTGAAGCAACCGCGGAGGCAAATCCTAAATTGTGGTGCATGGCATCTGTTATATATTATCTTGTAGTTCCGAGTTTTGAGCCCGCCTATTTCACATTAGTACAACTAAGAAACATCTTTTCTGGTATAAATGATACCTGTGTCAGTTCCTGGTGAATAGTGCTGTATTTGGAATATGAAGCAGATGCCTGGCGGGTCCGTCTGTCAGGCCTAAAATGTGGCGATATCAGGAAGGAAAACTCAAAGAAGCACATCGAGAAACCTGAGAAGGCTGATAAGTCGATACAGGATCTTCGAAAACACAGAGGAGTTCCCTATCTCAGAAAATACTCGTCAAACAAAAAAGTTGCAGGGTTTTGAGTCAACATTCTAATGGCGGCCTTAATCATGACCTTGGAAATAACTTTCAAGGTGATTTATTTAAAACCATATACCCTATCGATGAAAACAGTCAAAAATTTAACGCTGGGAAATAACCTTGACCATATATTTTCATTTAGGGGTTGAACGGAAAATTATATAATATTTAATATAATATAATATTTAGGGGCCAACCTGAAAATTTCAAATTAACCGAAACTTATGGCTCACATGAGTAAAGGATGTTAACGTATATTTGTGACTTTGGCCTTAGAATTGTTCAACGTCTAAGACACTTTGGGGTCATGGTGAAGGTGATGTTCAAGATCAGTTCAAAATGTAAGCTTTCTCCTCTTTTGATCGATGATGTGAAAAAATACACTTCCATTTAAGCTTTTCAAGTTGAATGATCTGGTATGTCAAGACCAGGATCATGGTCACAGTTATTTCCATACGTAAAAATGTCTTCTCCTTCTATCTGCGGGGTTAAAGACACCAGTTTTTATAATAAAATTTTCAGTTTTACCTCTTGAATGACCTTGAAGGCTATGGTCAAGGTCATGGTTCAGGATATTTTAGAACGTATTTTTTTCGATCTTTCCGTCGGCGGAATAAAAAGCTAGGGTACTACTTAAAATCTCCAAGTTGACCAGTAAATGACCTTGAAAATCATTTTCAAGGTAATGATCAAGGTAGCCATTCGATTGTACTGTTGAAATTTTCCATCTTTCATCTTGATCATTTATTTGTTTGGATAGTATTTTCTGAGAAAGAGGTTGGGTCGGAAATGTTTTAAACACCCTGTATAGATATTAGGAGAAATGTCGATAATTGGGCATTGACATGAATACTACGACTTTGCCCGGCCTTTGTTGTTATTTGTCAATTTGGGCAATGTTAAATCAGAATCAGTTTGAGCGATTGAAAAATTGATATCCGTATCAACAAAAATGAAATAACAAAATATACTTAGTAATATCAAGGATGAAGCGATATCATTCTCACGAAATTTAATTGACAAAGATTAATAAAAAATAATGTGTTGGACGACCCCGCAGCTGAATACACTCCTATATACATACGTCGAGGCATAGACAAAATGAGATGATCGATATCTGGTTGTGGCATCTCATCCCAAGCAACTCGAACTTCGTGAGTTAGCTGTGGCAGCGGATGGCGCAAAGTGGATAGTCTCCTCCCCTTCACATCCCACACATGTTCGATGGGATTTAAATCCGGTGAACGGGGTAGCCACGGCAAAACATTAACGCCTTCTTCTTGAAGAAAGTCCGTAGTACGGTGAGCAATATGGGGACGCGCGTTGTCTTGATGGAAAAGGACGTGTGCACGGCCCTCTAGATACGGCAGTAAAGTGATTTGTAGGGCATCATCATCATCATAACGCGCAGCAGTCATACTGTCTTGAACAAAGAGAAGGGTTGATCGGCTACCATACTCCAATAGTCCTGTGTGCCTCTCAACAGCAAATCCAAAATTACGCTGTTCTCAACGGCATTGTCTTACCCTTCTACGCCATCGTGCGTACCTAGACAGAATCGCGATTCGTCGCTGAAAATGACATTATGCCATTCTGCTTCCCACTGTTGCCGCTCATTGCTTCAGTTCAGACGTTGATGACCGTGGTCCGCAGTCAGAGTAAGCACTACCCGTGGACGGTATGAAAAAAGTTTAAAAGCTCGAATACGGTAATAGATAGTACGCATAGTTACAGGTTACATTGTGATGCTCTGTGGTACGCCTGGGTGCACTAGTTGGCCTTCTTTGTGTTCCTCTACTTTCTTCTATCCATACACAACTCACACGAATTATCGTCGACGCAGTACATTTAACACGACGGCCAATTTCGCGATAGGACAAACCAACATCTAGACAGGCAATAATTCTACCTCTGTCAATGTCGCTAACATGGTGATAATTTGGACGTCTTCGAACTCGAGGAACTTTCTTATGCTTAGCACTAGTATTTGAAACGGCAATAAGTAAAAATATCTGTACTACTCAGATATCAGAAACTGCTTTCTTCACAAAAATTAAAAGAGTATAAATATTAATAAAACCTGGAACCTGGAGTTGGAGTCAAAGCCTTGTTTCTCTAATCTCAGCAAAACGTTTCTTGTATTCTTCAACGTTAAAAACGATTTATTGTCATCGTGCTCAATGTTCCTATTAAACAACAGCACATTTTAATACAATTTTATACCGGTTTGAATAGTAAAGTGACGTAAAATTGACTCCACTACCAGTAGTTTTGAGAGTAATGCAAGGAGTATATCCACACATTTTAACATTCTTTACATTCCAGTAAATCATCATTGGCCGGTGCTTGATGGGACTTAGGGCAAAGGCCAAACAACAGTATGAAGACTTGAAGTAAATAATGTGCTAAGTGCCAAAAAATCGGTTTATCATTTTATACTTGTAAAATGTTTTAGGTGCCATAACCAACAACATAGGTACATAAAGGGCTAAGTGCCATGGCTATTATATTGTACTGAAAAAATCCTAACAGAGTGCGCGCTTGTCAGTCGCCATAACGCCGTCGTTAAAAAAATGTACTAAGTGCCAATAAATAGAGACTTGTAAAACAACTAATATTTTGAAGAAAAATGTTACTATTGAAGCTATCGCAGAAATGTCTCTTCCAAACCTGACCTGAAGTAGAATTACTGAAGAAAAAAAAAACAAGATCTGCTAGCAATGATTCCTTATTTGAAGGAAGAAAATAGACAATTTTATGAAGATCTATTAAATAATAATATTCGTTAGAAGCTAATTTTTTATGTTTTTTATTATTATTTCGTTATTATTTACCTCAATATTTATATTTTTTGTAATGGCACTTAGCACATAATATTTATATTTTTGTAATGGCACTAAGCACATTCTAAGATTTTGAAACTGTTATAATTTTGTTCTGCTATTTTTTACAAAAAGCTCCCGAAAATATTAAGTACACAGAAAAATACTTACTTGAATAAACCTATGTTTAAATTTACAGAGTTTTTTTAATATACTGATTCTAGAACAAAAAATATTGTTTATCTCAAAATAATAATTTTGGCACTTAGCAAATTATTTATT